AAGCCTTCTAGCCCCCCCCCCCCCCCCGCCCACCCCTGGTAGGAATCCTGTCCCCTCAAGGTCCTCTGTAATCCTTTTCTGTGCTTCCCAATGTGCGTCTGGCAATGAAATGTACTGGCAGCCGTATGTAGATGTGTCAGCGGTGCCTTCTGATGCTAAGACTCCAGACATTATTATACAATTATTTTTGCTTTGCTTTTCTGATTTTATACCAACTGTGTGGACTAAGAAGCAACAAAATAAAAGAATAACTCAAATGCTTTTGGCTTTCCACTGTATCTTTTTCTGTAGCTGTGCATAAATGTCTGTGTTTGTAAAAGGAATGAGTCTGCAGCCATGCCCACCCGCAATGACGTAACAAAGGTATCTCCATCATCTCTACAGGCATGCCCAAAGATTTGATCATTGGAAAAAAAGTTTTGTTGCTCAAAAAAAAAGTCACTATGTGTCCTGTAGGAGGCATGGGGGCCGGGGAAGGCAATTTTGTCATGTTTTGGGGGTGGGGGTCAGGATCAGTAGTAGCACTTAAGGTTTTTTTTAAAAAAACATTTAGCCACTAGATGAGGGCCGGGGAAGGCAATTCTGTCATGTTTCGGGGGTGGGGGTCAGGGTCAGCAGTAGCACTTAAGGTTTTTTTAAAAAACATTTGGTCACTAGATGGTGAAATAGGCCTTTTTCTAATTTGGGGGGGGGTGTGGATTATGGAGGAAAATGAGGTAGGTTGAGATTCAAAATGTTCACTCTTCCCCCTGACGCATTTCTCATCCCAGCCTTTCTCAGAAGACTAAGTAGTGACTGTCATCTTTTGCGTTTGTGATGGCTGGGTGGGCTTTGATGAGCCATTTGTGGCAGATGGAAGAGGGTGGCTCCTTTGAAAATACCGGCAAGAAGCCCCAGCTGATACACCATGTGGTTGCATCGGATGATGTGGCCCCAATGGAAGTGGCCCATCTTCAATTAAGATTCTTTGTCTTTGAGACACACTGGGTCTGACTTCTTTATAAATCCTTGTGACCCAAAGCCATTGGAACTTGGAATTTGGCGCAACATGATTGCCCCAACTCGGGCTGGCAGTATTTGGCCTCTGAACCTCTTGTCATCATGACCATGATTAACACTAAGAGACTGGAATTGCATGCCCCCAGAAGCTGCTCTGTAATCACATCTGTACAAGCAGATCACAGAAAGAAAGTCTATATATACTCAGTATCACACAAGGTAGATGAGAGAGTTACTGACTGCTTGAACTGGCGAGCAGGAAAGAGGGAAGTCTGTCTGTCCAGTCTGGATTCCTTTCTTATGAAGGAGGGGAAATAGGTTATGCAAGGTTCATACCCTTGGAGCAATGGTCAGAACTAAATCAGTAACCACAACCTGCTAAGGAGACTTTTTCTGTTGCTTCCAAGTTCTGTTTACTCTGGGTTGCAAACTATTTCTAACAGACTGGATTCAAAGCTGATCAGGCAGAGGGCCTGGAGTTGCACAAACTACATTTCCAACTTGACTCTTAGAGCCCCCACTCCTAATAGAACCACACCACTGGACCAGCAAGAGGGCAATTTCTCTTTATTTGTATGCATTTCCAAGCCTGCATACAAGGTGTCTGACAATTAAATTCTCTCTCTCTCTCTCTCTCCCCTTTACATATAAAGTTTTTTTCTATTATTAAGTTGTAAGCCACTTTACATCTCAGTTTACGGGAGAAAAGAGGGATATAACTCAAACAAGTGGACATGCATGAAATTTGGAAATAGCATAGTTGTCTCAGTGAATATTATTTCTTTAAAATTCCAGACAAACAGGTGTAGAGTTTGTGTGTTAAGCATATTTACATTTTTTAGTAAAAGATCTTTTGTTGTTGTTTCTTTACCTGAGTATATGAAAATTTGTGGGTTGCGGCTCTTTTTTAGTGGATGGTTTCTGAGAAATTCCACATAGAACGGTCAAACAGATTTTATGCTATCCACACTTTAAAATGTGCTTTATTGTGCCGGAAGTTTACTAGCATGTGTGCTGCTTTTCTACACTATGTTGGGGTCTCTTATTTAAGTGTGATGCTTCCCCTAACCTGTACTGTATACAAAAAGAACAAATACACTGAGCAACACAAGTTTGTTGACACCAAATGTGTGTGTGTGTGTGTGTGTGTGTGTGAGAGAGAGAGAGAGAGAGAGAGAGAGAGAATAAGGGGACAAGGGAAATGTCAATGTCTAATAAAAGTTCTGCTAAAATAACTCTGAGACCAAAGTGTAGAGAGGTGACTTCCAGATGTTCACCAAGTTGCATCGTTGGTCCCCAGACTTGGTTTTTGTTTTGCTTTGTTTTTTGCAGTGGTAAAAGGGAATGTGTGGCCCTCCAACTGTTGTTGGATTTCAGTTCCCATCACCCCCAGGCAGCATAGACAATGGTGAGGGGCACAGTCTGGAGGGCGACAGGTTGCCCATCCCTGTTTCCTAAGGTTCCCCTATAAGAATGGCAGCATCTTTACAATTACTGTCTGAACAGACTGAAAATATATATATATGAATGGGTGTAGATCAGGAGGAAGGCCTGGCTATCATAATCCTTCTCCCCCTCTCTCCCTCTGTGTACACTGTACTGGGGGGGGGCATCTCAACACACCCAATAAGTGTGATGG